TGCAAGAGGTCCCCTGTAACAGAATACATCTTTCTGGGGAAGAAAAAGACTCTTCAGAAATGTCCAATGAAGAATGAGAGCTACAGAGTGCGGTGTGTGGTATAAACCATACAATATCTGCCAGGTTTAGTTAATTTGACCTAATTCTGCATGTGGAAAATTGCTGTGGTGCAGGGAGTAATGCTTTTAGTGCTCAGAGGCACTGGCTGCAATTGCCGGTGATATTTGCGGTGTTTACGAACATCATAATGAAGAGGGTTTCAGATAGATCTTGAACTCCTGTGATCTTGCCTGTTCAAATTAGGTTGTCAGTTAATAGGTTATTTTATTAATATGGCTGTTCAAATGTGTATTTAATCAAAGTATAGAAAGCCTAACCTATGAAACTCAAATGAAGACGTTGTCCTGGTTTGGGCTTCATTGCAAGGTAATTTATTCCGTAGTTCACATGATGATGTAGCTCTTCTGTGGACTGACAGCTGTGGCCTTTTGCTAGTGTAAGGTGGGTCTGGAGTCTGAACCCTGAGATGACTTCTGCATGTCCTGACTTTTTTATGCCTAAATTCTCTAACTATTCTGCATAGATGAACTAAACCCATTAAACTCCTGGAAAAAAAAAAAGTAATTATGCAAGAAATGTGAATAAATTATGCATGAGAATAAATATATTAAATTAAAGCACTTTAGATCAGATGCAGGCCAACTCACAATGTGTGTGCTGTACAGCAGTGAAGTTGTATGAACACAGAGATCGAGATCCACATCCATAACAAACAATGCAGTCTGTTACATTTTAAGTCGATGGATTTGCATTCATTTGTATATAATTTTCTGTTGAAGAGTCAATCATTTTCTGATGTTTGAGCAAGTTCATGGTATGATATGCAAACATTATAAAATTTAATCAGATGGCATTAGATTTGTTGAAGTAAACAAACCTCAGCGATAATGACAGGATGTTATGGATTTCTGATCACTTCTATCATTTAAATTTAGTTCAGTGTTGTAGAGCTCATTACTGAAAAGAAGATGGTGATGTGTTCTATGAGAGGTTATGGTAGCTTAGGACAAACCCATGATTGTTGTAGTCAGTATGTGGTGAGAAAATCATTAACTGGACATATCACTGGTACGCACAATGCCATAGACTAAAGCACACCAGGAAGTTTTGCTCCCAGAGTATATTTTGTATTGATCTCAACTGACATACACGTGCTGTGATGACTCTTCAAAGACTCATAGGAAATAAGGCTGGAAGTGATCCTTACCAGTAAGTGTTGAGTTCAGCCTAAAACTTGCAGATAGCCCTGTAACTCCATCAAATAGAAGAATATGATCAGTGTTATATTACATGATAATATTAAAGTACTTGTCTTATTAGTTTATGTCATTTTTCTAATAAACCACAATTTTGATTTATTATGTTAAAAATTACAAATTTGCATGCCTGTTTTTCTGCTCTTTGCTTATCATATAGCAACAATGCCAGCACTTCTCCAGCTTGTATACCAAACAGAGTTGGTGGTAAATATATACTTCCCACTAAAAACAGATTCATCATTGATGCTTTATTCTTTCTTAGTATTTAGTTTCTGGGCTGGGGCAGGGAAGTTACACAGAAATGCAGGGAGCATGCTGGTATGGCTTGGCTTGACTGCTCTTCTGCTGCAAGGCAAGGACTTTTTGGGTATGTGGGGCAGTGTTATTCCTGCTGCCCCCTGGTAAATCACAGCTACTGCCCATGCGAGGGGTCTTTGTGGTGCCACACTGTGGTCCACTTCACCTCGTGCAGATCTGCGTTTGCACCTGTGATAAATGTAGGTGGTCACCCAAGTCCAGGTGTTGTGTAGGAAGTGATGAGGAAAACATGAGTACAGGTAAAATAAGGGCTTTTTTGTTTGGAGGGGGGTTGACAAAATTATGAGTTGTTTGTAATTACACTGACATAATAATTTCTAAGTACCCCTAAGGGAATTTAAAGTTTATCCTAAGTGCAGCAAAGGGGGGAAAAAAACAAAACAGCATCAAAAAAGCAGCCCTCAGTGGTCTATTACATATGCTGAAGTGCATGTGGCATTCTATTTGGGAAAAGAGAGTGGCTTTAAAAAGAATATTTCATTTGACTCCATCTGCAATGAAGAATGGGGAATGAGAGTAAAATAAATAGGACTATGACAGGAATGAGAAGATCTGATTTATATTGTGGAATAGAAAAACATAAATTCTTTCCAAGATACTGAAAAAGCTTTGCAGATCAGACACTGAAAGGAGATCGTCGTTCCTCCAGTTTGGTTGTTTTGTATAAGTTTTAGTCTGAAGTCACCCATGGTAAGTTTGAGAAGGGAGCAAGGCTAGTGTGCCTCTGTAATGCAAAATAGAAGTGGGCTGTTCATCATTATCTTCAGAAGAAGTATATTTTAATGGTAGGCTGATTTTTCTGCATATTATATAAAGTCCCATTTTTCAAGAATTAGAAATGTGAAAATGTTACATTAAATGAGACACTGAAATATTTAACCCATTTTCAGAGGAGAAGAACAAACACTTAAAAAGGAAAAAAAAAGTTTTAAAAAATTGAAGAACATTCACTAGCTATCATGCCTCAGATATCAAGTTATCACTTCTCCAGCAGAGCCTGGTGGGCTGCTGGGGAGCTGAAGGAGCAGTGTTTCCCATGGGTGCATCCTGGGGGAGCGTGTCTTTATGGGGGCGTGGGGCTGCCTCAAGTCTGGCAGCACCTTTATTCCCATGTAATGGCTTTTCATCAGAAGATGGCAGCAAAATCTTATGAACCATAACACTTGCTATCCTGCCTTCCCATTGTTAGGGTGCCAGGGACAACATGAGGGATCTGCTGGAGCCAGCTTTGAACTGTCTTCCTTCTTCAGTTACCCTGGACAAAGCCATATAGATCCTCGCTCCATGCATATCAAACGCTGTGGGCTGCATCCTCTCCCTTTTTTCCTTTGACCAGGTAGCTCTTATAAAAATGCTTCACTGGGGCTCTCTGCATACCACCTGTGAAAGCAGACTCTGTGAGTGTCATTAAACCAGCTGGGAGCCTTCAGCAGCTCTGCTGCACTGCAGTGCTGGGGGGCTCAGCTCAAGCGGGGGAGTTGGTGGCTGCCTACCTTGGCCAGGGCAGCTCCGGCCTCCTGGTGTTGTGAAGGTGATTTCTTTGGACAGGAGGACAACGGCCTGATTCAGGCTTCTGTCCTATGGCTGGTCCATGGAGCCCTCTTGGTGTGGGTTTGCAGATGGCCACCCTTGGGTGCCTGGCTCCTCATGTTCATAGCACAACAAGCCCAAGTGACTGCTGGGCTCCCTGTTGAGGTGTCAGGAGCCAAAACAAATTTCTATGTGCCACCGTGGCTCTAGTCTCTGCCTTTCAGCTGTCGGACTTTATTTTGTTCAATTTCTTAGTGCTATGGTTTCACATCCTTGTGTGTGTTTCCTCAATGCACAGTATTTGAATTCTGCAAGGGCGCTACTGCCATGGTGAGGGTTCAGCTGGAGCGAGCACTAAGTGTTTGCTGGTTGCTTTAATCTCTTTAATCTATTTGTTGGCTCGTAGTTGCTCTTTGGGAACTGAGTGCTTATGTTAGAGCTCAGGCTTTCCTGGAGGGGTTTGGCTGCATACTGATGTCCATCTTCTTATAGGAAAAAAACTTAACCGGAGGTATCATTTGTTTCTTCTACTACAGGAAGCAACAACTACACAGTCCTTACCTCTGCTGGTGCTCTACAGAAGTGATGTTGAATTTTTAAGTATGTAAACAGGGAATGATATTTGTGTATACTAGAGCTTAACACCACCTTAAAAGTGATTACATGTTATTAATACAGAATTCATAATTTGGTCCCACTATTGTGTAGGTTGTTCAATTCCTAATCCTTTTAGAATAACCTCAATAATAAACATGGCATTTCCATGTAGCATTCTGGGCATCTTTCTTCTGAAGAAGTTTCTGTAACTTATGATCTGTAATTAGAATCCAATTTAATTATATGTTCTGCAAAGAAATGCTTCTTGAGCAGGGCTTTGTTTTTATGCAGCTGCTGGAAACAGGGATGAAACTGTGGGTTGTAAGAAATAGCTCAGAGGTGAGGGCAAAGTGTCTTCAGAAGCGATCAAAGTTACTGACAGATGAATGTAATCTGCCATATGGACTGTGTGGCATCATATATGGTGTCTAAAAGAGGTACGCATAAGCTTGCATAGCATAAGTCATTTGATGCAAAATATATATATTTTGACTGTTTAATGACATGTTTCTGTATGAAACTTAGCAAATCAAAGACAGTGTTTGTACAGTTTCTTTCCTTTGGGAAATGTCAACACAAAAACCTTAACTAAAAATTCTGAAACATTTTTTTCCAGGGTTTTCTTCATATGCTCAAAAACATACAGGAAAAACTTTAACAACTGTATTATTAACTTAAGGCTAATTCAGACTCATTTTGGCCTTGAACATGAATAATTTGAGACTGACCTGATGATGGTTAAAATTCTTTCTTGTTTAACTGAAGGAGCATGCACTCATTTCATTAACTTCTTGCAGGCAATATTGGAAATTACTTAATTTGACTTTGGAAATGACTTAATTTGTTGAGATTCATGGCAAAGGTTTTTGGAAAACTGCCTGCAGCAGGAGGTGCATGTAATAGATACATATTTCTAGCTTGCAGGCTATGGTGGTGTATGAATTGATCATATAAAAAGGTCTGTTTCTTGGGAAGGTCTTCAGAGAATGCAGTGAAGTTATAAACTCACAGAAATGGACAAAAAAAGTGTGCTTCAGACTAGATTCAGTGACTTCATACACACATTTTTCCTCTACTGCTGATAAAAAGAGTTGAAAAAAAGATGGCATTGGGCCCAGGTGATTAATAAAGGGCAAATAGTTGACTTTAGAAAAATTTAGCTGTTCTAGTTATTTTTACTGAACAGTAATTGATTTCCTCCATGAAAAATGTCTGAGTGCTGCTCATCATTTCAGCTGAGACGCGTTAGAACAGCCAGGACCGTGTCGGTGCTCCCAGCTGCAGAAGGTGTGCTCAGCAGACGGATGGAGCGAGGGCAGGCAGGGATCTGTGTTGGTGCCTGTGCCAGGGTAGGAAAGCAGCCTTGTGGTGGCTCTCCAGGACTGCTGTGTGCAAAGGGAACTGCGCAGAAAACTCACTCTAAGGACTAGTGCTTAAATGTGCACTGAAATATTAATGCAACCTCATTTTCAGATGGCAGGACTCTCCTGAACGAAGCCATATGTTGTACTCGCGGGGGACGAGAGGCGGCTCAGTCTCGGCTTGGAGAAACGCGGTGATGTTGAGAAGACTGACCTGAGTCAAGTTCAGGGTTTCAGCAGTTTTCTCCTCTACTTCGTCTTTTCTGCTTCAGATTTTAAGATTTTTTTTACTACCTGTAGGAGAAGGCTGACATCTCTCCTGGTTTTACAGAGGCATCTGTGGTGCCTCCTGTAGGGATGGCCTCCAGGCCGGCTGTGGTATGGTGTTAGTGGTGACACAGATGTAACCTCCGGCAGCTGCCAGCCCTTCTTGGCCAAATAAAGTGACTGTTTAAGCCTATCTCTGTCATTCCTCTCCTCTGGTTTGCATTAGGTGCAGTGCTTTTGGGATTATTTCAGGGCTAGCTGCCTCATGGTTATGTTTCCAAGTGCGGTCAGTCATCTCCAGGGAGTGTTTTGAAGTGTGTTTGGCTTAGTGGAGCCACTTTTTGAAAACTGTAGGGTCTTATAAATCCCAAAATGGAGATGCAGGCAAGTTGTGATGATAAGAGCCTTTGCAGTGTCAAGTATCTCTCCGCAAATTGTATGTCTGGCTTTTCCTGCAGCATCGCAGGGAAGTCCTGCAGGGCCCTGTGTACAGGGGAGGTGTCTCCTCCTCCCTGCTGACAGCCAAATTGCACAGTGCCATGGATAATTTTATATTCAATGCTTCTCTAATGTTGCATTTCCATGTAAAAAATTGCTGTCTTTGCCCCTAGGAACATTATAAAGCAGCCTGAAACTATGTTCAATAGTCCTAGTATTATTTCATACCTCTCACTGAACAAAACGAATGATGAGTTGCTTGTCCCCAAATGGATGATGAATATGAAACACTACAACAGAGGTTCTGTGTGAAGATTGATGGATTTGGGTAATGCCTTTTTTATTATTTTCTCTGTAGCTAAGTTCTATTTAAAACCTTCCCATTCAGCAACTCACCTGTGAAAATTAATTGAGCTGCTTTATGTACGTTGGGCTAATTTCCATATTTTACACTACCTTTTCTAAAATGAGTTAAAAACCCAGTCACTTTAGAAATCACAACACAAGGAGGTTGGGATAACTAGTGCTCACATGGTAGTTTCATTTCTGTTGAAACATTTCATATTAGTGTAATTGACCAAGAATTAGGATAATTTTTAATAACAACATATGGCAATTATGACTGAAAATGTTTGAGATACTTCTGATTTGTTTATATCATGGCTGTAAATGTTAGGAAAAACAATGTGAAATTCCTCCTGAATCGAACTACTTGTTTATTTCTACTGGATAATTTCCTGCAGCCTAAGTGAACTATTAAATTAATCACACCATATTTAAAGGGTAGTATTTGCATTGGTACAACCAATGAATCATAACCAACAATTTACTTTTTATAGCTGAGATTGTAAGAGAACATACCGTATATTAGTAAATGATCCACAAACACCTCTCTTCTACAAATGACAGCTGTACATTCAAAATTTTAATCTAGGATAATAATAATAATAATAAAAACCAACCCTCTCCCTCAAGCCCCCTGGAAAAGCCATGCCTCACCCTGGTGCAGAATTGCAGCTTTCACCTGGTGTGACGCTGTTGTGGAGCCTCCCCAACCACAAGAGCTCCAGCTTGCTTGCTGTGTAACCCTTCACAGCATTTGGTTTGGTTTTAACTCATTCAACATAGGTGTCTGTCAGGTTAATCTGAGGTTATTTTAGCATTAAAAAGAATATATTTCAGAAAAGTCTTTGTAGACCTTCTGTAAAGAAAAGCAGTTGAATGAGAATGGGTAGTTAACAATAACCATTTAAATTACAGCTCCGCGAGTCTTATCCAATATAACGGGCTCAGACCACGAACTCAAATTCTAATATAAATTCAGAGGCTCTCATTAATTATTCCTTTTATTTTTGGGAGCTGATGATGGCAGCAGCATGAGGGATGTACTGTGCATGGCTCTTCCCATGACTCACTTCTGGCCTTAAGCAAAGCACTTAATGCATTTGTGGCTTACCTGAAAAAGGGGACAGCACTGCTTTCCTCCATGATCGAGCTGGTGCCAGCTTTCCTGAATTAATGTCTGAAAGATGCCTTGAGTTCATAAAATAAAAGCAGCCTTGGATGACTTGGTATTTGCCAAAGAAAGTCATAATCTGCTAGCGGTTAATGCAAAGGTGTTTGAGACATTGCAGTCACCTTCTGTCAAATGCAGGGAGGTCCTGAGTTTCTCAGAAAAATGAAGGGATAATTCATTATATTCTGGGTTAATGTTAGAATCAGAGGAGGATGGCAGTCTGAGTTTCTTGTGTGAGAGGTGGATTATCCACCTGAAATCAACTCCAGTATTCTCTCTGGGAGGTTGTGATAAATGGCAACTGTTTTTAGCAGCAAAACAAAGAATGTCAGATGTTGCTGGCTGCAGCCGTGCTGCTTTGGCCCTGCATTTCCACCCAGTGTGCACAGCTGACCAGGCTGCCTCTCCAACACAGCCTGAGTCCACCCTGAGGCTTGCATATAACCCATGGAGGTGACAGCGACCCTGGTGGAGATCCGTGAGGGATTGAAGAGGTGGGGATGGAGGGAGCGATGGTGGGAGGCTAATGGGTGTACTAGCGAGAAGCTTGGCTGTGCAGAGCCACTTGTCCTCATGCTCCTGCTTGATTGCCCTTGGCAGGAAAATAAGACTGGAGAGACTTCAGATAAATCCAGCAGTTGTCACCTGCCTGGCTATCTACAAAGGTACAAGGCACCTGTGAAGCTCTTGTTTTGGCTGTCTCCTAGGATGTCCAAGTAGTGGTGTCACGAACCAGCCATGCGTGGTTTGCACCTCTGCATAAACAACATCTGGTTTGCAGCGTTTGTCTTTTCTGGTTGTTATTCCATACACTTTGTGGGGAAGGTGAAGAGCAGCATGGCCAGCTTTCCATGGGGATGGGAGCTGGGGGCAGCTTTGCCAGTTTTATTGGCTGTACTAGATACAGACAGCAGAAAACACAGCCCCCCTCTCAACTTTCTTCCCTACAAAAAAACAGGACAACTCTTTCTGTGACCAACCTCCCGTAAGAGTTACAGAGCTGAATTTCTAGAAGGGGAAAGCAAGGAGAAAAACAAAACCTTAGCTTTGGTAAGTGAGCAGAAATGTATGCAGTATCTTGTATGATAGGTGTTTTAGGCACACTCTTCATCCTACACTCAAAGATGCATCAGGTTTAGGCACAGCCTACAGACTGGCATGCAGCCTTGCCTTCCTTGCCTTAAAATGAGTGTAGATGTTCAGCTACCTATCTGCAAAAAGGCAACCTTTCCACCAGTTCTGGAAATGGTCTCTTAATTCAATATTCTTATGGTATTTCTTTTTCAATAGCACATACAAGGTATTGTTAATTCAATATTCCTCCTGCAAGTTTTGTCATCCTAAGTAACCTCCACATTTCTGGGACTGTAAATCCCTCTCTTACAACACGCTGAAAATGTGGAGTTTCATGAATACAGAATTACAAATCTGTAATTAAGCTCCTAACACCAAGTGCTTGGGAGATATTATTAAAAAAAAAAAGTATCTGATTTTCCAAAGAGGTGGGACAATAAAATTAAGTTAATGTGGCATTCAGGTTTCTTTCAGTAACCTTGTTCAAACTTGTAAGTGTGCTCAGAATATGAATGTGTTATTATGGGCCTGAAGAGGGGGTGCAATACAGTTGGCCTTTTTTAATATCATGATTTGCATGGCCATAACATCCCTCATTAGCAATGGGGCCGCTGAATGGTAGTGCCATTCAAGAACAGGGGTTGGAACGAAAAGTGCATTGTCCCCGGCTGAACTTACTGAAAGGTGGGGAGAGGATTCTCCTTCCCATAGCTTGGAGCAGCATCAATAGCTGCCATTGGGGAATAACTGCTGAAGTGAGAATTGCCTTTTCCCTGTGGTTCCTGGCCCACCTGCAAATTGCGGAGTCAGCCTTCCCCATTGTGACACCACGGGCTGTTCCCACTAAAGACACACCATTAAATCTGACTGTCAGATGTTCATCTCAATATTCCTGTTGATCCATGCTATTTTTTAGTGATCTTGAAAGGTGGTCTACACACTTTTTAAAAGGTGACATTCTCATTAACAGAGCCCCATGGAGCTGGAGAGGGGGAATCTTGCACCTCTTTGCAGAAACCAAAGAGAGGCCAAGAGATATGGCCTAAAAGGCACTTAGTGGGACTCTTCACAAGTGCTGTAGAGCCTGGTTCATTTGCAGTTTATCAATTTGTCTTTTGTAGATTCAGGGCAAACCAGCTATGCTCTTGCAGGCAGGAACTGAATGGCTTATAAAATTGTGTCTCCTCATTGGAAATTCTTGAGATGTGTTAGCTGAGCACATAAACTCTCCTTGTCTGTTCCAATAAAATATAAAAATCAGACTAGATTAAATTCCTGCTGTGGGACAACAGCAGCTACCTCATTTCAGACTGACCTATGTTTGGGGCCTTTCATGCTAAAGTAATGTAATATCTGAGGAGCAAAAGTGGGACTACTGGTAAAACTAGAATTTCTATATATGTGTGGATATAGAAGAAGGTTGCATACGTTTTCTTTACACAGACTATTTTATTATTGTTTGGCTAGTATTATTCCTACTGCAATGCTTAGGTGTGATCTGGTAGGGCTCCTTTAAAGTTTCTGAACTCTTTTTGGCTACACAACCTCTGAATTATGCTCAAAACTCTTAAAGCTGTGTCAGCAAAACCATGCTTTAGCATCTACCTCTTTTGCAGACCTGGGGAAAAGCCAGATTCTGTCACTTCCATTCTGTAAGTAACATTTTTGGCAGAGCTTAAGACTGAATAGTAAAATGTTGAATAATTGACATTGCGAGGCACAAGTGGAGACTTTTCATGAGCACGAGGTGGCTGCTCCTTCACTCATCCCTACAGTGTCTGAGCAGGGGGAAGGACAAGGGCTCTGCTGGAGAAGCTGGTGCAGGTGAAGGGTGGGCAGACATGGAGGGATGGACCCCTAGAGCTGTTATTTAACAGAGGGGAATAGGAACTACAAAATACGTCAAAGCTGATTGAAACTGAAAGTTATTGTATTGTTCATATAGCTGTATAATTTTGTTTATTGGATAGAAACATTATGGGACATTTTTCATGTAAAATTCTAACTGCAATGTGAGTAAAAATGCTCACAAATTTGTTTGGTCTGAGCCCCATTTCTTTTTTGAAGAATTGATTTGGATTCTGAATGCACAGCTCTATTGCTGCTCAGTTTGATATACGATGTAGTAAAAGCCATGTGTGTTGCAAACTGTTGCATGGCATTTGGATTCCTTTATTTTAAAATATGTTTTAATATTTCAGGAGTTTAAGCATAACCTGCTCCTGATCAGAATCTGAGTACTGATTTTCAAGTTATTTTTTCCAATTATCAAATGTGTATAGCTATTTTAAGTAGAACTCACAATGATAAGGTAAATAATTAATGAAGTAAGTTTTTCATAGCCATCTTTAATCATATCTTAAGAAATTGCCTGGAAGAGTTTGCCTTTGAGGGCTAACTTTGTCTTTCAAAGAGAACTTTATTATTGAGCCCTTTTCAAGTTTCCATCACTCCCTTTGACATAGACTAACAGGGCTGTATTGATTTCCCCTGGACTTGGTGCCCAGTGCTAATCTACATTCAGCTTAAAAAACACTACATTAACAGAATATTTACGTTCTGACACAAACTTCCCAGCTTAAATCTGGCAATGCCTCCAGCTCTCTTTGGCTTGATGAAAAGACACCACAGAGAGCAGAAAGTGGCCGGGTGTGAGTTGGAGGGACTCGCTCACCACCGTTTTCTGAAACTGTGGTTACTGATTTTGTGCAATGTTTATTCCCTTTCCACACGCTTAAAAGTCTTAAGTTTTGCAGTATGTTTCTTATTTTTTTTTTAGTAGTTCCCCCTGCAGGTACGTTGAAGGTCCAAAGCTATGACAAATCGTTCCCTCTCTTGCAGAGCAGATTCTGCAGGGGCTTGATGTAATCAACCAGGAGCTTGATGCGATTGCAAAGCAAATATTGTCTTAAGCAGCATCTTTGAGACATCAATATGTTTCCAAAGGAAGAAAGTAGCACATCTTACAGATAATCTCATGCCCCTTGTCTCTGCTGCACAGTTTGGTATTTAAACACATTTTTCAATGACTGAAAATCAAGTTGAGGGGATTCACTGTCACGTGCATGGGAGATACGGCTACACACAACCCAGCTGGTTTCAGCTAGTAGCTGGACTGCAGAGGAAATCCTTCACAATCCTTTCTGATTGGTGCTTTAAAATTTATTTTTCTGCCCATACATTGG